ATGCAAAGTCATGCCCTGGAGTCACCGAACAAACATTTATGCCATAAATTAGGCCCCTGATTTGGAAGTGATTAAAGAGGAAAAGGCCTGCATGCGTTCAGCAACCTCAGGATGAATGTAGGCTGTCATGTAATGCAGCCACAAGGACGTGGTGCATTCTTAACTCTATTGGGATATATTTCCAGAAGAGGCAGATAGTGCCAGTGCTGTTGTACAGAGCATTATTTACAGACCATGCACCAGCCATGCTAAGAAACATGAATTCATTGTAGAAAAGGTGCAGAGAAGAGCAACTGAGATGACTGAGGGAATGCAGAAAGGACATGAGAGCAGCCCAGCTTGATAGCTTGTCAAAACAGACGTTATGGGGAGATAAGATTGCCCAGGGTAGCTTTATCAGTGAAAAACACTAGAGCAGGAGGAGATCTGCTTGAACTGATAGATGGGTTTTGCATAAGAGAAAATTGGTCTGAGCTGGCTGAAAACTAGGAGAACATTTCTAGCTGCTGGAGGTGGCAGACTGGAACGAGCTCCCAGAGTCAGAGGTATAGGGAGCCTGCCCATTTTGCAGAAAGATTTCTATGGGAAGCTGCTGCCCAGCAGGGAGCAGGCATGCTGACCCAGGAGTGCCCTGCCAGCCACGTTTGCTTTGTTCAGGTGGGTTGATGTGGTCCAGCTGGGGTAATGGGCCCGGCTAGCTCTGTGTCCCACACTTGAGGGCACTGTCACTGAGGTCTATGGCCCCCATGGGTGGGGAACACGATCACTCAGCAGGGAAAGCTGCTGTGCTGCGGGCACTCTACCTGCTTTCCCACTCATGGCTGTGGCTTCGCCTGGCCTGTGGGCACAGCAATGGGTTTGCTGGTTTCCCATTCCTTTTCCAGCAGGTCAGGTCCCAGGGCTTTTGCTCTCAACCCCAGTCTTCTCCCATGAAACTGAGAAGTTACACAGCGCATCCACTGTGGTGCGATGTTCCCGCGGGGACTGGGCAGCAGACACTCAGGCTGCCTGACCCTTTCTTTTCCCCTGTTGCCCCCATGCCTCCAAAGAGTATTCAGATACTATTCAGATGCATTCAGTTATGCAACCAGCTTATAACTATGCAAATGTATGCAGCCTTTCCCTTACACAATGTCCTGTTTTCTTTCAGCTGCTTTTTTGGAAATTCAGCACTTCCTGTGGGAGTGCAATCTGAGTCCCGGGGAGCCATCTGGAACCCTCCCAGCCTCGGATCCCCAGGCAGGCTGGAGCTGGCACCGAGTCCTTTCAGAAGCCTCACCAGCCTGGCTGCTTGAGTCCTCCTGCCCACCATCCTCTGCTTGCTTACACAATCCAGGCCCCTCGGTCCACCCCAGAGCCAGTGGCACAAGCTGGTGCCAATTCCCTGCAAGATGCAAGAACACGGAGGGGGGGTCTATCTGCATGGCCTGTCCAGCTCTGTAACCTGGCACCAGCCAACAGCAAGTGTGTAGGAAGCAATGTGAGAACAAGGCGAGCATATACCAGCACTTCTCTGGTATGTCCTCACAGGCCCCAGGGGTTTGTGTCTCTGGGAGCTACTGAAACAACGATCTCTCTTGTTATTTAGTAGCCCCTGATGGATTTTCCTCCATGGCTTACTCCAAATACTTTTTGAATCCATAGACACTTTTAGCACCCAGAACATCCTGCAGCAGGGAGTTCCTCAGCTCAGCTACCCAAAGTATGCAGAATTACTTCCTTCAACCTGAACTGGTCTCATGCTGGATTCTGCAATAGCCCTCAATCCTTGAGTTGGAAAAGATGGTGAACACATCTCCCCACTGCCAACTACTGTGTCATCCGCCTCGGTCATCTCTCCATCTGTGGAGTCTACTCAGTCCTTCCTCTTTCCTTCCCTATGGTTCATCATTCTTATGCTTCTCTGAGTCCTCACAAGATGGGACAATGAGATGGGACAATGAACACTTCAGGAGATGGTTTTCTGTTCTGTGCTCCCTTCCTAGTAATTTCCAGCAACTCCATTCCCCCTGTGGAGCAGAATGGATAAGTCTGGGAAGTCCCCGTGCTGTTGCATGCCCATATTAACCCTGTGTTAGTCCTTTTGTTAGTAAGCTTCCACTGATGGAGTGGCTCTGCTGCCCCTGGGACTGAAGCATCATGTCTCATGAGAACCTCTGCCAGTACCTTCCTATGCCTCCCCAGCAGGGATGGGCGCTCCTACCACAGGTCATGTCCCAGGGCTGCGGGCTCTGTGTGGCACACCAGGCTCCTATGGCTGTCCACGTGTGTAACGTGAGGGTGGCTGGGATGAGACCATTCAGCCAGCCCCAGGGACAGCCCGTGTGCCTGGCTGTCCCAGTGCTCTCGCATGGCTCCAGAGTTCAATGCATGTGGAACCTTCTCCAGAGGCGCCCACAGCTGTGGTGGGCACATCCAGGGCTCCCCCCTTAGCCTCTCCCTGTGGGTGATACTTACTGTGGCTTTGGCCATGTGCCAGCCACACCATGGGCAGTGTTCCCAGCAGGATGGCTGAACCTCCCCGCAGCTCTGGGGCAGGCTGCAGCCCTTGCAGCTCTCAGGATCTGAGCAGGCCCCAAAAATGTGCTACCATCGCCTGGAGCAGAATGACCTGGCAGTGGGGTTCATCCCTGGGAAGTCTGTCCCTGGCTAAAGGGCTGGCTTGCATCCTCCCTGTACTCTTGTGAGTGGAGAGCTGACGAGGCAGCAGGCATGGTGTGGTGTGTCAGCTCCAGAGCAGAGCAAGGGCCCTGCAGCACAGGGGTGCTGCTCCCATCTCCAGTTAGGGCTGGCAGGGCTGGGACACACATCCCTGTGTGTACCCGAGCCATGTGGAGCCCCTTGGCCCCAGTGCCATGGCCCTGTATGGCTGGCAGGGGTTTTGGGGAGCACCAACAGGCCCTGGCACTGGGGTGCACAGCAGGGAGGCCATGCCACACCCAGCACCAAGCCCATGGGCAGGGGTGCCTCAAGAGGGGGACTATGGGGACCTGCTGGGTGGCTTGATGAGACCCCACAAGTCTGGCCAAGGCCAGGCCAGGATGCCCTGGTCAGGGCTGGAGCTGTGCACCTTGGACTATGGGGGCACCGAAGGCCCCATGCTGTAGGGGAGTCTATCTGTGGGACCCTGGTGGGCCTTGGGGTGCCTTGGGCTAGGGGGACCCATTGTGGGGGGTCCAGGCTGGGGTGGCTGGGCTGG